TCCTCCCCTTCCCTCGTAGACGACCCCCCCCGGCCCCTGTCCCCTGTCCCCCCGCCCGCAGTGACACCCGCGCCCCTCCCCCGCCGGGCCTCTCAGACCCGCCCCCGGCGTCATCCCGCTGCCTCTCACACTGTGATACTGATGTCAAGCTCCAAGCCTTTGCCAGGCACTGCACTTACACAGCCGTCCACAGGCAGGGACAAACCCAACTGTGTTACACGAATGATCTCCCAGCCACTCATGAACCATCAATAGGTTCCAGCCAATTCCCCAGCCCTGCACCCCAGAACTGTCCCATTTTGCACTGGTCAGAAGCCTGGCCACTGTAAGTTCATTACCTAGTTTGCCACTTTGTCAAAGGAAAGTGGACATGCACCAGCCTTTGTAACCTGGGCAGATTTCTCCAGCACTTTAGACAAACTCACTGGTAAGGATAAAACATTAAATCTGCATCTCCCTCAGCAGCTTTCTGTGTCTTCCCAACCCCAGGGGAAGCCTTCCTCCCCCTGCCAATTGGGTCATTTGCATTCTTACAGACAAGTATTTCTTCAGTAGAATTTGCATCCTGTCTTAGAGAGACAGTTAATTTCCATAAGCATATCGGGACCGACCGGTGTCCTGAAAAACTGGGACCTGGATTGGGGTTCCCAATCTATCCCTGAGGAGTCAGCTGTGTGACTGCTCCCCTTTCGGGAGGTCGGTTTCACAGTCCGTCCTCTCTGAACCCGAGTCACAGGCTGAGTGCATGGGTGCAGAGATGCTGAATCAGCCACTCTGTCCTGGGCATCCTGTCCCAAGTGACCAGTGAGGAGACATTCATGTACTTCCACTATTCTTTCCCCAGTTTTTTTCTCTGCTCCCCGCCTCTAGGACACACACCTCTGTGCTTTCTACAGCAGTCTGTGACCCCGGTTCAGCTGCAAAGGGCTCACAGCCAACAGCCTGGACAGTTTTCTCAGTGACAGGCACTTTATCCCCCTCCCTTCCTGAGGTGGTGGTGGTGCCTTCAGCTGCAGTGCAGGAACTGGTCTCCACCTCCCCCACACCTGGAAGAATGCTGCTTCCCCCTCCTGCAGAGCAGTTAAAGAGACTCTCTCACATTCGTTCAGCAGTTCATGGGACTTTACTGTTTCCCTATGGGGTCCCAGCATCGTATTTCTTCTTGCTGCAGGTATAACAGCCTGAGTTGCACTGAAAGAATCATTTCCAATAAGTATGTCAATGGCAATAGTTTTTAAACCCATCAGTGTTGATCTGCATTTCAGTCAAAGACACATGAATCCTGTAACCTCCTACTAATAAAAGTTCTGGCAGTGTTACCTTGTTGAATTATACTCTGCTTAACCACAGAAATTTCTGCACCTGTAGCCTCCCATCGTAAGTATGCCTTGCCATGAATCTTGAAAACCTTGATGTGCTGCATGTCTGGTTCTGCAGAGGGTAATCCCACAAAACCAAGATGATAAGTGTCCGGCGCCTGTGAGATTTCTGTGTTGAGGACAGCAGTATTAACATGGGCTATTTGTTGTCTGCTTCCTCTCAGTACACGGCATTTATTCCTCAGGTTAATTACAGGGATAGCACCTTTTTGGCTCTTCTGTTTTCACTGGAGGTTTGGGATGGGGATTAGAGGAATGTTTTTGGGGATGTGTGACGCTCTGTACTTCGGGGGGACATCCTACACCCCCATCTTCATCTTTATAAAATGATTGTGTGGTATCCAATGCAAAGTTTGTCATGTTGGGTGTGTTTGGAAGGCTCGTGATGCACTGTGCATGGTTGTTATAATAATTGTTACTGTAATGTTATAGTAAGGTTGTAGGTTACAATTTCATGTATATAGTTATGAGGCTGAAAATGTACCCTCGTGGCTTAAAGCAAACTCATGCAAAAACTCTCCAAGAGCAGAGAGGCAGTTCACACCTTGTCATGGCAACGGCATGGATGGGACAAACCCTGTCCAGCCTCACAGGAACAATGGTCACTGTCTTAGGCAGCAATAAAGAATCTGTTCGACCAGGAGTCTCAAACATGTGGCCCGGGGAGTTATTTCCTGCGGCCCAACAAGCTCCCCTCACCCACCGCCCCCCTTCCCTCCCAGCATGCCGCATCCACACTCCTCTGCCTACCTCCAGGCGCTTCCCGCCACCAAACAGCTGTTTGGTGGCATTTAGCACTTTCCAGGAGGAAGGGGGAGGAGCAGGGAGGAGGCAGAAAAAAGGCCGGACAGGGGTGGGGATTTGGGGAAGGGGTTGGAATAGGGGCAGGGAGGGGGCAGAATTGGGGTTGGGACTTTGGGAAAGGGGTGGGAATGGGGGCGGGGAAGGGGTGGGAAGAGGCAGGGCAGGGCCAGGGCCTCATGGGAGGGGTGGGGGGGTTGTATCTTTATATGTAAAGGTGTCAGTGATGCAGCCCTTGTGCCAATGTACTAGTCCTCATGTAGCCCTCGTGGTGATTTGAGTTTGAGACCCATGTGTTAGACCCTGGAGGGAGTCACCCCTTTCCTTTGGGCAGTTTGGGACTGGGATGAGGTAATACTCACCTGACTCTGAAGGGGGGGGGGCAAAGCCAAGCAGAAAGAAAGGACATGATAAAAGGAAGTGACATTTTGCCATGCTCTCTCTCTCTTTCGCCTACATCTTGTGACAGGGTCGGGGTAGAGGAGAGTGATAGAAGGTAGATCTATTAGCCCCAGATTAAGCAGGTCCCTTTTTGCTGAGTAAGATAATGGGCTGTTCCAGAACAATCAGGAAGTTGCTGGAACCAATTATGCCAGGCAGGCTAATTAGGCCACCTGGAGCCAATTAAGACGCTACTAGAATCAATTAGCACAGGCAGGCTAATCAGGGAACCTGGTTTATAAAGGACCTCACTTCAGTTAGTGAGGTACGTGTGAGGAGCTGGGAGCAAGAGGCGTGCAAGAAGCTGAGAGTGAGTAGGCATACTGCTGGAGGACTGAGGAGTACAAGCGGCTACAGCCATCAGGAGGAAGGTCCTGTGGTGAGGATAAAGAAGGTGTTGGGAGGAGGCCATGGGGAAGAGCCCAGGGAGTTGTAGCTGTCACACAGTTGTTACAGGAAACGCTGTAGACAGCTGTGATCCACAAGGCCC